CCATTATCAGCAACCATCAGTCCTGCGTTCCAATGGCACGTTGTGTTTGCTAATCCAAGTTTATCCTTTGAAAAGGCTAATTGATCATTAGAAAACCCTTTTGCAATTATGTTAGCACAGCTGAAAACTGTTGTGCTGATTAAAGAAGCAATAAAACTGGCCTTCTTGAGACTAGTTGAGTATCTGGAGCATCAGCAATTGTGGGTTCGATTACAGGCTCAAAATGGCCAGAAACAAAGAACTTTCTTCTGAAACTCGTCAGTCTATTCTTGTTCTGAAAAATGAAGGCTATGCGAGAAATTGCCAAGAAACTGTAGATCACCAGTATCAACGTCAACAGTGAAGAGGCGACTCTGGGATGCTGACCTTCTAGGCAGAGTTGCAAAGAAAAAGCCATATCTCAGACTGGCCAATAAAAATAAAAGATTAAGATGGGCAGTCTGAGATATGGCTTTTTCTTTGCAACTCTGCCTAGAAGGTCAGGATCCCGGAGTCGCCTCTTCACTGTTGACGTTGAGACTGGTGTTTTGCGGGTACTATTTAATGAAGCTGCCAGTTGAGGACCTGTGAGGCGCCTGTTTCTCAAACTAGACACTAATGTATTTGTCCTTTTGCTCAGTTGTGCACCGGGGCCTCCCACTCCTCTTTCTATTCTGGTTAGAGCCAGTTTGCGCTGTTCTGTGAAGGGAGTAGTACACAGCGTTGTACGAGATCTTCAGTTTCATGGCAATTTCTCGCATGGAATAGCCTTCATTTCTCAGAACAAGAATAGACTGACGAGTTTCAGAAGAAAGTTATTTGTTTCTGGCCATTTTGAGCCTGTAATCGAACCCACAATTGCTGATGCTCCAGATACTCAACTAGTCTCAAGAAGGCCAGTTTTATTGCTTCTTTAATCAGCACAACAGTTTTCAGCTGTGCTAACATAATTGCAAAAGGGTTTTCTAATGATCAATTAGCCTTTTAAAATGATAAACTTGGATTAGCAAACACAACGTGCCATTGGAACACAGGACTGATGGTTGCTGATAATGGGCCTATGTACGCCTATATAGATATTCCATTAAAAATCAGCAGTTTCCAGCTCTAATAGCCATTTACAACATTATCAATGTCTACACTGTATTTCTGATCAATTTGATGTTATTTTAATTGACAAAAAAATTGCTTTTCTTTTGAAAATGAGGACATTTCTAAGTGACCCCAAACTTTTGAATGTATGTGTATGTGTGTATGTGTGTATATACACTGTGTTCACAATTATTAGGCAAGTTGCATGTTTGAGGATTAGTTTTATTATTGAACAACTACAGTGCTCTTGGTCAATCCAAAATGTTAATAAACCTCAAACCTGAATATTTAAGAAAGTAAAAGGTTTTGGCTTTCTTTGGAGAATATCTATGTGTGCGCAATTATTGGGCAACTATTAGTGTACAGAATTATTATGCAACTAAATGAAAAACTAAAAGTTCCCCATCTCACTTGTTTATTTTCATCTGTTAAAGTGAGAATAATAAACAAACTCAACATTTACAAATAAACATTTCTGTGACCAATATAGCCACCCTTTTCAATAACAGTCATAAGCCTTCCATCCATGGAGTCTGTCAGTTTCTTGATCTGTTGACGATCATCTTTTTGTGCAGCAGCAACCACAGCCTCCCAGACACTGGTCAGAGAGGTGTACTGTTTTCCTTTACCGTAAATCGACTGTTTAAGAAGGGACCACAAGTTCTCAATAGGGTTTAGGTCAGGTGAGGAAGGGGGCCATGTCATTATTCTTTCATCTTTAAGGCCTTTACTGGCTAGCCACGCAGTGGAGTACTTCGATGCATGCGATGGAGCATTGTCCTGCATAAAAATCATGGTCTTCTTGAAAGATGCAGACTTTTTTCTGTACCCCTGCTTGAAGAAAGAGCCTTCTAAAAACTGGCAGTAGGTTTGGGAGTTGAGTTTGAGTCCATATTCAACCCGAAAAGGTCCAACTAGCTCATCTTTAATAATACCAGCCAATACCAGTACCCCACCTCCACCTTGCTGGCGTCTGAGTTGAAGTGGAGCTCCGTGCCCGTTTCTGATCCAGCCAGGGGTCCCATCCATCCGGTCCGTCAAGAGTCACTCATCTCATCAGTCCATAAAACCTTTGTAAAATCTGTCTTCAGATATTTCTTGGCCCAGTCTTGACGTTTCAACTTATGTGTCTTGTTCAGTGGTGGTCGGGTTTCAGCCTTCCTTACCTTGGCCATGTCTCTGAGTACTGAACACCTTTACCTCTCTTTTTACACTGCTGCTACTGTTTATTATCCATGCATAGTCACTTTACCTCGACCTACATGTACTCTACCAGTCAAAAGCTTGGTCACACCTACTCATTCAAGGGTTTTTCTTAATTGTAGAATAATAGTGAAGACATAAAAACTATGAAATAACACATATGGAATCATGTAGTAACCAAAAAAGTGTTAAACAAATCAAAATATATTTTATATTTGAGATTCTACAAATATCCACCCTTTGCCTTGATGACAGCTTTGCACACTCTTGGCATTCTCTCAACCAGCTTCATGAGGTAGTCACCTGGAATGCATTTCAATTAACAGGTGTGCCTTCTTAAAAGTTAATTTGTGGAATTTCTTTCCTCCTTAATGCGTTTGAGCCAATCAGTTCTGTTGTGACAAGGTGGGGGGGTATTACATTTACATTTTAGTAATTTAGCAGACGCTGCTCTTTAATTATTATATATACACTACCAGTCAAAAGTTTGGACACACCTACTCATTCAAGGGTTTTTCTTTATTTTTACTATTTTCCGATGATACTGTAGGTTTAAATTTTTTAAATTTTAGTCATTTAGCAGACGCTCTTATCCAGAGCGACTTACAGGAGCAATTAGGGTTAAGTGCCTTGCTCAAGGGCACATCGACAGATTTTTCACCTAGCAGGCTCTGGGATTAGAACCAGCGACCTTTCGGTTACTGGCACAACGCTCTTAACCACTAAGCTACCTGTCTGTTTACATACATTGTGAACTGCACACCTACTGAGATGCACTGTCTGTTCCCATCCTGAGCGTTGATTAATGATCGTTCAGATTGCAGAACAAAGGCAATAGAGAAGCCAGATTTAGACATCTCATATAATTTAAAAGTTCCATTTCACGTCATGCTGTTAATAGAAATGTATGCAAATGTATTAAAAATAAAAAAACATAATGCTATGGGACTCGAAATTGAGCTCAGGGGCATCCTGTTTCCATTGATCATCCTTGAGATGTTTCTACAACTTGATTGGAGTCCACTTGCGGTAAATTCAATTGATTGGACATGATTTGGAAAGGCACACACCTGTCTATATAAGGTCCCACAGTTGACAGTGCATGTCAGAGCAAAAACCTAGCCATGAGGTCGAAGGAATTGTCAGTAGAGCTCAGAGACAGGATTGTGTCGAGGCACAGATCTGGGGAAGGGTACCAAAAAATGTCTGCAGCGTTGAAGGTCCCCAAGAACACAGTAGCCTCCATCATTCTTAAATGGAATAAGTTTGGAACCACCAAGACTCTTCCTAGAGCTGGCTGCCTGGCCAAACTGAGCAATCGGGGGAGAAGGGCCTTTGTCAGGGAGGTGACCAAGAACCCGATGGTCACTCTGACAGAGCTCCAGAGTTCCTCTGTGGAGATGGACAACCATCTCTGCAGCACTCCACCAATCAGGCCTTTTATGGTAGAGTGGCCAGATGGAAGCCACTCCTCAGTAAAAAGTACATGACAGCCCGCTTGGAGTTTGCTAAAAGGCACCTAAAGGACTCTGACCATGAAACAAGATTTTCTGGCCTGAAAGCCAAGCGTCACGTCTGGAGGAAACCTGGCACCATCCCTACGGTGAAGCATGGTGGTGGCAGCATCATGCTGTGGAGGTGTTTTCCAGCGGCAGGGACTGGGAGACTAGTCAGGATCGAGGGAAAGATGAACAAAGTAAAGTACAGAGATCCTTGATGAAAACCTGCTCCAGAGCGCTCAGGACCTCAGACTAAGGCGAAGGTTCACCTTCCAATAGAACAACTACCCTAAGCACACAGCCACTGCAGGAGTGGCTACAGGACAGAACCCGATCGAACATCTCTGGAAAGACCTGAAAATACCTGTGCAGCGACGCTCCCCATCCAACCTGACAGAGCTTGAGAGGATCTGCAGAGAAGAATGGGAGAAACTCCCCAAATACAGGTGTGCCAAGGTTGAAGCGTCATACCCAAGAAGACTCGAGGCTGTAATCGCTGCAAAAGGTGCTTCAACAAAGTACTGAGTAAAGGGTCTCAATACTTATGTAAATGTGTTATTTTTTAAATATTTTTTTTTGCAAAACTGTCAACCTGTTTTTGCTTTGTCATTATGGGGTATTGTGTGTAGATTGAGGAGAAAAACAATTTTAATCAATTTTAGAATAAGGCTGTAAGGTAACAAAGTGGAAAAAGTGAAGGGGTCTGAATACTTTTAGAATGCACTATAATTCCATTACCGTATTCCGTTACTGGGTATAAATCCACTTCACCTACTGTAGTCCAAAATGTTAAATGTTTTAACTCCAGGTGTTATGTCATAGCTGACACCATTCTTTCTGCAGACATCTTTGAATGTTAATTAGGTGCAGAAATTAGTTTTTGGAAAACGTGGTCGGATAGAAAACTGAAGGAGATTTTACCGTAATTCGATTACCAAACTTTGCATCAGTACAGTTGTTCCAGTAAATGTGCTTTTGTGATATTTTCTGTGTAAATTGTTCAAAGTAATCCTTGTGCATAGTTGTATGGTTTGTTAAACAAAAAAAACAAAAAATGTTTGGCATACATTTTAAAGTGAAAAATCTGAGTCAAAGCGTAATTCCGTTACCATGGAATAGCCCAGCTGTATACCATCTTGTCAATACCTCGCTAGCTTGGAGTTGTCTATCACTACTCACATTGTCTCCAAATTACTGTGTATGACTATCCCTTTGTGTCTTCTAGGTTCTGGCTTTAATAGGACATCAAAGGTAAATCAACCAGCAACAGCAAGCTCCTCTGACACCTATGTGAGTTGAGGGCATATACTGTGGCTCTTTTCACACATTTTTTTCCTTTGCCTATTCCACACCTTTTCCCAATACCTGTACAACCATGGACCATTGACATGACAACATTGAAGTCTTTCAACAATAAGTGGAATGTCGGCCTCAGAAACCGCCTAATTGCTAACTGGTTTATTTAGTTCCACTGCTGAGCAGATAGCGTCCATGATTAGCCTTATATCAGATATACTTTTAGGGACAATGGTCATAACGTTATTACAAGGTTTTTGGAAATGGGTGTCTTTCCTTATCATGGATAAATATTCACAAACTGTGCATCCTATGTCCCTGTTACTAACAACATATTGATACAGACCGAACCATTTGTAACCAGTAATAATGGTATTTTGTTTTCCTTTCCCAAGGCAGTTGGAGGGACAGTTTCCCAGCCTCGCCTGGACAGAGAGCAGCTCCTAGACGACACCGGTTCCTTGACTGTGGAAATCACTGAGGAGTTGTTTGTCAGTGATCATGATAACGATGATGTGGCCACTGCACCTGATGAAGAGGAATAACCTGAGGAACCCAAGAAGAAGAGGGGGAAAAAGGATAGTTCAGATGAGTGGGAGCCGTCTGATAAAGAAGATCCTGTAATACTAATGGACTATTCTTCTGATTCCTCTGAGGATTTGCAAACTGTTGGTTCCTCTGACCTAACAGAAGGGGCCAAAGCTGCTACTTCTCAGACAGACAGAGAGGAAGGTGGTAAGCTTGCAGTTCGGTGGTGCGATGAATGTGGAGCTGAGCCTTAAGTCACTTGCACCACACGGAGACATAAGATGCAATACGCCTGTGCTGTGTGTGTGGGTGAGGGCGAACAGGCTGTTGGATTTGACCAATTCTACATGCGGTTCGATGACCTATCCAGCATAAAAAATAATGTGCAACTCAAACACAAAACCAAAGTTTGTCAACCCACACTCTGCCCAGACTGCGGTAGGTATCACTTCAAGAAAGACCACTTGTGTGAGCACAATATCAAGAAGATCCCCTGCCTAGACTGTGGTAAGCTATTTGTTTCCCAGATATCTCTCAAGCTTCACATTAGAGTCCACCAGGACAGCTTTGTGCATGCATGCAAATTCTGCCTCAAGAAATTCAAGACCAAGCCAGACAAACAGACACATGAGGAGAGCCATCCCCAAGAGAAGAGTCCCTATCAATGCCCTGACTGCTCGGAGATATTCAATACTTTTTAAAAAAACGGAACAGGCACCTTCAAAGCTGCCGAGGGCCAAGGAAGTACATTTGTGATGTCTGTGGCCAATAATTAAATGGGTTGCATGTACTCAATAGACACAAAATTGTACACAACGGGCAGAAACCCTACAAGTGCAAGGTGTGCCAAATGTCCTTCAACCAAGTTAGCCACCTCAAGTCCCATTTGCGCCTCCACACAGGGGAGCGACCCTTCAAGTGTCAACAGTGTGAGAAGTGCTTCAATCACAACGTCAGTCTAAAGAACCACGTGCACCGTTATCATGGTCCAGACTCTCAGGAGCAGGGGGAGAGAGAGAAGGAGCGGAATAGTCAGGAGCTAAACTCTGGAACTGAGGAGAAAAAGCAGGGTGGACGCTCTAGTCCTAAAGAACAGGGAGAGGGTCAGGAACCAATCCATCAATCTGAGCAGGAGAGAGAGAAGCGGGAACCGAGAAAGAGGAGGCACAAGAGCAGTCAACGCCAGACATCTGACCCTGAGGAGTTCGAGGAGGAGGGGGTGAGGCAGATCAACAGTGACTCAGACTTCAACCCAGCAGAGGAGAGGACCACAAGTAGAGGAAGGGGAAGAAGAAAGGGTAGGCCAAGAGGGAGACCGAGTACCAATGGGAAGAGGAATGTTGCTGTAGAAGATTTAGATTGATCACACCAGTGTCATGTTCATTAGGGCACACCACAACAAAACATTTTAGAATGGAAAATGAAAATGAGCATTTTCTAATTTAACAACTACAGATAGAACATCCCTGTTTCACTTTGTTTTGTAGCATTTCACTCTGTTTCATGCTTACTGAACATGACCCAGTATGAACCCTAACATGAAGTATGGGGTCAAAATGTATGTGAGTCTTTTAGATTTAAGAGGCTAAGGGTTGTTTCTGCTATACAGTTGGTTGTATGAAAACACTACTGTAAAGACTACGTAATTGTTACTAATAGAAGTCAGTAAAATCAAATGACACTATTGATATTTACAGTAAATATATATATATATATACAGTTGAAGTCAGAAGTTTACATACACCTTAGCCAAATACATTTAAACTCAGTTTTTCACAATTCCTGACATTTAATCCTAGTAAAAATGTCCTGTCTTAGATCAGTTAGGATTACCACTTTATTTTAAGAATGTGAAATGTCAGAATAATAGGAGAGAGAATGATTTATTTCAGCTTTTCTTTCTTTCATCACATTCCCAGTGGGTCAGAAGTTTACATACACTCAATTAGTATTTGGTAGCATTGCCTTTAAATTGTTTAACTTGGGTCAAACGTTTCGGGTAGCCTTCCACAAGCTTCCCACAATACATTGGGTGAATTCTGGCCCATTCCTCCTGACAGAGCTGGTGTAACTGAGTCAGGTTTGTAGGCCTCCTTGCTCGCACACGCTTTTCTGTTCTGCCCACACATTTTCTATAGGCTTGAGGTCAGGGCTTTGTGATGGCCACTCCAATACCTTGACTTTGTTGTCCTTAAGCCATTTTGCCACAACTTTGGAAGTATGCTTGGGGTCACTGTCCATTTGGAAGACCCATTTGCGACCAAGCTTTAACTTCCTGAGTGATGTCTTGAGATGTTGCTTCAATATATCCACATCATTTTCCTTCCTCTTGATGCCATCTATTTTGTAAAGTGCACCAGTCCCTCCTGCAGCAAAGCACCCCCACAGCATGATGCTGCCACCCCCGTGCTTCATGGTTGGGATGGTGTTCTTCGGCTTGCAAGCCCCCCCCCCCCCCCCTTTTCCTCCAAACATAACAATGGTAATTATGGCCAAACAGTTATATTTTTGTTTCATCAGACCAGAGGACATTTCTCCAAAAAGTACGATCTTCTTCCCCATGTGCAGTTGCAAACCGTAGTCTGGCTTTTTTATGGCGGTTTTGGAGCAGTGGCTTCTTCCTTGCTGAGCGGCCTTTCAGGTTATGTCGATATAGGACTCGTTTTACTGTGGATATAGATAATTTTGTACCTGTTTCCTCCAGCATCTTCACAAGGTCCTTTGCTGTTGTTCTGGGATTGATTTGCCCTTTTTGCACCAAAGTACGTTCATCTCTAGGAGACCATTTTCCTGAGCGGTATGACGGCTGCGTGGTCCCATGGTGTTTATACTTGCGTACCATTGTTTGTACAGATGAACGTGGTACCTTCAGGCGTTTGGAAATTGCTCCCAAAGATGAACAAGACTTGTGGAGGTCTACAATTTTCTTTCTGAGGTCTTGGCTGATTTCTTTTGATTTTCCCATGATGTCAAGCAAAGAGGCACTGAGTTTGAAAGTAGGCCTTGAAATACATCCACAGATACACCTCCATTTGACTCAAATGATGTCAATTAGCCTATCAGAAGCTTCTAAAGCCATGACATCATTTTCTGGAATTTTCCAAGCTGTTTAAAGGCACAGTCAACTTAGTGTATGTAAACTATGTATATGTACTGTAAACCGGTACACTGACCTCTGACTGTTTTAGTCATGTTGTAGAAGTTTGTTTTACAAAAATATGTTACTGGGTTGAATTTTTTTTTAATAATACAATTCATAGTCACCAAATATTTTAATATTTAGATTTTCTTCTACTTTAAACTAAGTTTGTGTTGCTGTTGAATTATTCAATAACATTGTTTTATCACAGTTTCAACCTCCTATTAAACTATTTTAGTAGGCTATTCCAGTTTGTAATGCTTAGATTTCTAATAGTTTTTTAAATAGCTGATAAGAATTTGTTTTTCTTATATTGTCATCCAGAATTGCTCTCTTTGCTGTCATGATGGTTTCAAATGAATTAAGTTCTATTTTGAAAAATGGTCTGTTTCTTGCCTTGAATATTCATAAACTTTATGGTTTTAAGTAAATATTATCTTCAACTCTGCTTATATGGATCATGTAACGCTCACTAGTTCTTAAGTTTTTCCCCCCATCACTTTGGTGCAATTGTCACACGTGGTACATTTTTACAACTCTAAGCACACAAATCCAAATGGATCATCAAAATTTCAAAACTCCAAGCACATTTTCGATTGAATGAGTATAACAAACAAAGTCACTTGTTCACTGCACCAAATCACTTTCAATTTGGATACATATTCAATCTAAGTATCTGCTTTTCAAAATGCAATATTCACTTTACTTTTGGTATGATTATCTTGTAATTTGTTAACAATACAATTAACTATCACTTAATCAAACTACTGAACGCTGGTAACTACTGAACCACGAGTATGTAGTGCCTAGTTAACCTATATAGTTTGATAACTGCTGAACACTGAAATTCTATATTTATTCCTCAATAATGTATCAATTTGACATCAATTTATGTTGGAAGGTTAAACCAAATAATATGGATGTGGCTGTAAATACTACATCGTTGTACAATTTTTTTCATCTGTTTTGGTCATGTACAAGTTTTTTTTACAAATACATTCTGTTACTTGGAGAGAAAAAAAATCTAATACAGTTAATATTCACAATGTTGATTATTTAATACTACTTTAACCACTGCTAAGTTTGTGTTGCTTTTGACTGTTGAGTTAAATGTAACTCATTTGGTGGAACATGGCGCTTGCAACACCAGGGTTGTGGGTTCGATTCCCACGGGGGGCCAGTATGAAAATGTATGCACTCACTACTGTTAGTCATTCTTGTCTGTTAAATGACTTAAAATGTGATAACATTGTTTGATTACTGTTTCTACAACTATTTTGGTATTCCAGTTTGTAATGCTAAGATTTCTAATAGTTTTTGAAATATCTAATTAGAAAATTGTGTCCTGAAATGTTATACAGAATTGCTCTCTTTGCTGTCATCTCTTTGCTATTTAGAATTATTTCTTTCCGTCAATATTAATAAACTTTGACATAAGTCAATTTAACTTTCAAACGCTGATGATATAGAGACATCAACCTCAAGATGTCTTCTATAAGATCAAGTAACGTTCATTATGCTTGTATAATAATGTGTTGAACAGACCTGCTTCTCTGTCATGTAAAGGTTCAATTTTTATAATATCACAACTGTCTGCAATGGCCAGAATGTTGCTGCTCCCTCCTGAAATCAACCCAGTATTAATCAATCAAATGTTTTGATAAAGCACTTGTCAGCAGTTGTCAAATATCCTGCAAAAGCAGAAGCAGGCAGGCACCACTCAACTCAAACCTTCAAAACCTCATCATCCAGTGCTGGAGAGTGGAGATGGCGTTTTGGGCCAGCAGGGGGCACTGTAGTCTTGGGATGACTGGTCTGTAGTATAGGATCAGGACGCTATTTTGTTATTTCAACCACTAATTTCCCCCCAGAATCATTGCTGAGGAGAGTGGAAGCAGAAATGTTATGTATGGGTTATGAATGTGTTATAAGTACTAGTCCTTATGTAGGTACCCTACTACCCTCCAAATAAAGTGGAACCACATCTCCTCCAAGGAACAGCACATACAAACTCATGTGCACAACATTGTTAACACACATGCAGTGTTATCAGGATGTTGTTTTTAAGTTGTCCTAGTGTAGTTCCTGTATCAAGATTGGTTTTCATTGCAGTGCAATATGAATGTCCAATACACACAATAGACTGACTGGAAAGTGGTCCTCTGTAGCTCAGCTGGTAAGAGCATGGCGCTTGTAACGCCAAGGTAGTGGGTTCGATCCCCGGGACCACCCATACACAAAAAAAATGTATGCACGCATGACTGTAAGTCGCTTTGGATAAAAGCGTCTGCTAAATGGCATATTATTATTAAAGGTGATTTCCCACAATCAAAGTAAGAGTTAAAATTTGTGTAAACGCTACATAGTTGTGTTCTGTGGGTGTTACTGACTAGGCTGATATTTAATTGGTGCACCATCCATAGTTTAGGCTGTACATTGCAATATGAATATTCAATACACATAGGTTAGGGTGGTGAGCTTAAAGTTGATCGTTTCAGTGGTATCAGAGTCCTGCATTAAGAGCTAGATGCTAATATTTGTGTAAAATCTTCCCTGTTGTGTTCTGTGAGTGTCACTGAGTAGGCTGATACTCAATTTCATGGGTGTACAAGCCATAGGTTAGGCTGTACAGTGCTTATAAGAATGCCCCCAATTCAATTACATCCACAGTGCGATTTCAACCAATTTTTTACTTATTTTGTCAAATTAACTAATAATTGTATTTTGTTAAATTTATATAACAACATTCCAACATTGTTTTAGCATTATCTAGTCCAATTGTGGCATGATTCCACCATTTTTTATCTGCTTGGATCAGTTTCAATAGGGGACTTTTAATTTGAAGGCGAACCGCCGATTCCACTATTGTTTGCTCACGCTAATGTTGTTCACAACACACTGGTGAAGAAAGTCTACCACCCAAGAAGAGATGGCGAGACCAAGTTTGGTGTACGGTCCCTGGTTGTTGTTTTTTACAGAAAGTCTATGGCAACAGGCAATGCATTTCACCGTTATCCAGTGAAAGACCCGGAAAGATGCAAAAGATGGTTAATAGCTGTCAGACATATTAAATACGATGTCAAGACTCCAGTTTGCTACTCTGAATAGCCTACGTGTATGTAGCAAGCACTTCAGGAAGATGATTTACGAGAGAGACTTTCAAGCCGAAATGATGGGTACTAAGAACAAACGAAGCCTCAAAGATAACCGCTGTGCCATCTGTATTTCCGTGGACTGGACCGGCAGTACCAAAATACAGAGGAGCGTTCGAGAAGAGAAAGCGCGCGGAGGTAGGCCTACTCATGGGAGCTGTCCGTGCTTGTAGCTAGCTATTAGCTAGCTAGCTTGGAGTTGTTGTCTATCACTGTACTCCCATCGTGTCTCAAATGACTGTGTACTTTCGGTGTCTTCTAGGTTCTGGCCTCAATAGAAGGCCTCAATAGGACTTCAAAGGTGAATCAACCAGTAACAACAACAAGCTCCTCTGCCATATATGTGAGTTGAGGGCAAATATATCTACTGTGAATGTTTTCACATACTTTTCTTTTGCCAGTCCCCACAGTCCCTTTCCCAATACCTGCTGTAGCCTACAAACTAGCCCTTGATCATGATTCTCAGTTCCATTACATTACACATAAGAGTCATTGGACGAAGGCGTCTTCTGTACAGGGAGTTTTGTTAAGAGCCCAAAAGCTTGGTCAGAAATCATTGGTCTGAACATTAACACGCATCGCTTGCGGTACGGTTTTGGAAGCATAAAAATACCTTCTCTTTCATATCAGCGAGAAAAATAGCGAGAGTTTAAATTGATACACACCTTTATAGGGTTAGTGTTCTCACACGGCCCATATCTCCACGTTACATCGTGTTTACGGAAGACACAGGGACCACCTATGCCATATAGCTATCTAGCATGCTCCGAACTCTGTAGCGGAAGAAAGCCGCCAGAAATGTGGTTGTCACTGAAAAATACTGTTGGCTGCAACTGTGATAAAGCAGTTGTACAGTAAGTGTATATTTTAACATTATGAAAGTAATGGGCTTTGTGTTTCTTAGAAGCGTACCGCAATTGAGAATCGATTCACGTTTAGATGGACTATTTGGCTGTTTTGGGCTGCAAGATCCGTCTACCTACCCTGAAAATAACATACAAGGTAGTCAGCTTAAGAGTACATCTTGGGCTGCCTAACAACCGTGGACCATTTGCATTGACAACATTTGATTTCAGTCTTTCAAACTATAAAGCATAAGTGGAATATTAAGCCTCAGGAACCACCTGGGGGTTTTTGATTGTCCCAAAGGCTAGTTCTGGTCTATTTATTATAGTTCCATTGCTGAGCAAATAGCCCTCCATGTCATGATTATATTAATATCAGAAATACTTTTAGGACAATGGCATAATAACATTATTAACATGATTTTTGAAAATGGGTGTCTATCCTTAATCATGGCTGAAAATTCCAAACACTGTGTTGTTATCCCTTTGTTAATTAGAACAAGTCATTTGTCTCTGTTAAACTATCACAGAGATATTAATAATGGTATCAACAAAATAATAATAATGGTATTTGTTTTCTTCCCCAAGGCGGTTGGAGGGACAGTTTTCCCAGCCTCGCCTGGACAGAGAGCAGCTCCTAGACGACACCAGGTTCCTTGACTGTGGAAATCACTGAGGAGTTGTTTGGCAGTGATCATGATGACGATGTGGCCACTGCACCGATGGAGAGGAAGAGTTTCTGTCCTCAGAGGAGGAACCTGAGGAACCCAAGAGAAGAAAGAAGAAGAGGAAAAACAAGAGGAATAGTTCAGATGAGTGGGAGCCGTCTGATAAAGAAGATACTGTAATACTAATGCACTATTCTTCTGATTCCTCTGAGGATTGGAAACTGTTGGTTCCTCTGACCTAACAGAAGGGGGGCCAAAGCTGCTACTCTTCTCAGACAGACGAGAGGGAAGGTGGGTAAGCTGTAGTCTTGTGGTGCGATGATGTGGAGCTGAGGCTGAAGTCACTTGCACCACACGGAGACATAAGATGCAATATGCCTGTGCTGTGTGTGTGGGTGAGGGCGAACATGCTGTTGGATTGACCAATTCTACATGCGGTTCGATACCTATCCAGCCTAAAAAATCATGTGCAACTCGAAACACAACACCAAAGTTTGTCAACGCACACTCGCCCAGACTGCTGTAGGGTGATCACTTCAAGAAAGACCACTTGTGTGAGCCAATATCAAGAAGATCCCTGCCTAGACTGTGGTAAGCTATTTGTTTCCCAGATATCTCTCAAGCTTCACATTAGAGTCCACCAGGACAAGCTTTGTGCATGCATGCAGATTATGCCTCAAGAAATTCAAGACCAACCAGACAAACAGACACATGAGGAGAGCCATCCCCAAAGAAAGAGTCCCTATCAATGCCCCGACTGCTCGGAAAGATTCAATACTTTTTAAAAAAACGGAACAGGCACCTTCAAGCTGCCGAGGGCCAAGGAAGTACATTTGTGATGTCTGTGGCCAAGAATTAAATGGGTTGCATGCACTCATAGACCACAAATGGTAACACCCGGGCAGAAGCCCTACAAGTGCAAGGTGTGCCAAATGTCCTTCAACCAAGTTAGCCACCTCAAGTCCCACTTGCGCCTCCAACACATGGAGCGACCCTTCAAGTGTCAACAGTGTGAGAAGTGCTTCAATCACAAACGTCAGTCTAAAGAACCACGTGCACCGTTATCAATGGTCCAGACTCTCAGGAGCAGGGGGAGAGAGAGAAGGAGCGGAATAGTCAGGAGCTAAACTCTGGAACTGAGGAGAAAAAGCAGGGTGGACGCTCTAGTCCTAAAGAACAGGAGAGGGTCAGGAACCAATCCATCAATCTGAGCAGGAGAGAGAGAAGCGGGAACCGAGAAAGAGGATGGCACAAGAGCAGTCAACGCCAGACATCTGACCCTGAGGAGTTCGAGGAGGAGGGGGTGAGGCAGATCAACAGTGACTCAGACTTCAACCCAGCAGAGGAGAGGACCACAAGTAGAGGAAGGGGAAGAAGAAAAGGGTAGGCCAAGAGGGAGAACCGAGTACCAATGGGAAGAGGAATGTTGCTGTAGAGATTTAGATTGATCACAACCAGTGTCATGTTCATTAGGGCACACCACAACAAAACATTTTAGAATGGAAAATGAAAATGAGCATTTTCCTAATTAAACAACTACAGATAGAACACATCCCTGTTTCACTTTGTTTTGTAGAATTTCACTCTGTTTCATGCTTACTGAACATGAACCCAGTATGAACCCCTAAAGGACAGTATGGGGGTCAAAATGTATGTGAGTCTTTTAGATTTAAGATGCTAAGGGTTGTTTCTTCTGCTATACAGTTGGGTTGTATGAAAAACACTACTGTAAGACTACTTAATTGTTACTAATAGAAGTCAAATCAAATTACACTTTATTGATATTTATAGTAAATATACACTACCGGTCAAAAGTTTTAGAACACTTACTCATTAAAGGGTTTTTCTTATTTTTACTATTTTCTACATTGTAGAATAATAGTGATGACATCAAAACTATGAAATGACACATATGGAATCATGTAGTAACCAAAACAGTGTTAAACAATCAAAAAATATTTTATATTGAGATTCTTCAAATAGCCACCTTTTGCCTTGATGACAGCTTGCAACACTCTTGGCATAGCCCTATTTGGTAAAAGACCAAAGTCCATATTATGGCAAGAACAGCACAAATAAGCAAAGAGAAACGACAGTCCATCATTAACTTTAAGACATGAAGGTCAGTCAATATGGAACATTTTCAAGAACTTTGAAAGTTTCTTCAAGTGCAAGTCGCAAAAACTATCAAGCGCTATTATGAAACTGGCCTCTCATGGAGGACCGCCCACAGGAATGGAAGACCCAGAGTTACCTCTGCTGCAGAGGATAGTTCATTGAGAGTTGATAAGTTCATTAGCGTTTACCAGCCTCAGAAATGGCAGCCCAAAATAAATGCTTCACAGAGTTTCAAGTCACAGACAACATTTCAACATCAACTCTTCAGAGGGACTGTTGAATCAGGCCTTCATGGTTGAATTGCTGCAAAGAAACTACTACTAAAGGACACCAATAAGAAGAAGAGACCTGCTTGGGCCAAGAAACACGAGCAATGGACATTAAACCCGTGGACATTTTTTGGCTGGAGTCCAAAAATTTTAGATTTCTGGGTTCCAAACCCCGGTATCATTTTGAGAGGGGGGTGGGTGAACGGAAAGATCTCTGCATGGGTTTTCTACCATAAAACTGGAGGAGGAGGTTTGATTGTGGGGGGGGGCTGTGAGTTTTTTTTGAATTCCCCAATTAACCAGCATGGGTACCACAGCATTTGGGAGTGATATGCCAAAACCCCCTTTGGTTTTGGGGTTAGTGGGACTATCATTGTTTTTTAACAGGACAAAGACTCAACACCTCCAGGCTGTGGAAGGGGTATTTGACCAAGGGGAAGGGGAGTGATGGAGGCTGCATCAGATGACCTTTGGGGCCCCCACAATCCCCCCACCTCAACCCAAATTTAGATTGGGTTTTTGGGTGAGTCGGACCCCCCAGAGTGAAGGGGAAAAGGGAGCCAAAAAAGTGCTCATTATATGTGGGAACTCCCCAAGATGGCGTAGTAAATGCCGTTGTTTTTTTCGGTTTTTGAAAATTTGGGCCGGGAAATCCCTTTTCTTATTTTTCATACATATTTCCCTATCAGATTTTAAAACCTTCTTTCAAAAAATTTCTTTCCTGCAACCCCCTCACTTTAAGTGGAAAACGGATTCTATTATTGACTTACCTTTATCCGGGGGAAAAAAAATCTCCAGTTGGGAAAATACTAGCCAGCTAACTAGCTACTTGCTATTGCCCCAGCTAAAGGGAAATTTCCCCCCAGAACATTGGTTTTTTTTTTTGCGGGTTTTAATTTTAAAACACTGGGACATTAAAACCCCCGGATACGGGCCCGTCCACAGCGCGTTACGCCCCCGAAAAATTTTCCCGTTTTTTTTCCCCGAAATCACTGAATCACTGGACCTTTAAAAAACCCGGGTCATCGCTACCGGGTAGCTAAACAAAACGGACGCTTTTTTGGGCCCGGTAAACATTTCCCGAAACTAGGCCCCTCTCCCGGCTTCTACCTCTCTTCAACCGGAGGGACCCCCTAGTGGTTTTTACACGGGGCCCGCCGATCCCCCACCAAAGGTCGGGCCCACGAAAAACGTCTGATGTGGGTTTCGACGTTTTAAACCCCGAAAAATTTTCCCTTTTGGGTGCCCCCGGCCCCCTACAAAGCTAGCCGGGCCTCTTTAACCCCGCTAGGGTTTAACCGGACCCCCTTTTAAAAATCAGTTACACCCGAGGGCCCGCGGACTGTTCCTTTTTTCGGGACTACAACCTGTTTATGGTTTTGCCCTCAGCCCAAAAATGTTTGTTTATTTTTTTTTCGGTTATTTCTAATTGGAAATAAATTTTACTGTAGACCCCCCAAAACCTAGTTAAAACCCGCCTTTGATAGCTCCTTTTCCCCCCCCCCTATACACGCGGAGACCCACTCAATTTATGCTCCAGCGATGCTATCTCTTTCATTGTTAAAAAAAAAAAAGCTTAGGTTTACCTCCACTTTAAAATCATATCCTTCCCCAAACCTTGTCTGTACAAAAAGCCCTGAATCTTTTTTATAACACCCGGAAATTTTGCCCCCCTTTTTTCTATGTTTCCCAAAACCCCCTAGAAGACCATTCTTAAAGCCTTTAGCCGTTCCCTTTTTCTAGGGCCTCCTCGTTCCCAGGGGATTTTTGAAAGGCTAACCCAGGGCCCCGGGAGCCCCCATACATCCACTCCCCGGGGGCTATCATTTTCTGACTTCTGTAAAAACGCAAAAGTTTGGGTTTTTTGGGACATAAATTCAGGGAAATCTACTTTTCCCAAGTTTGGTTATTCACCTTTCGTTTGCACCCCTTTCCAAACCCCCATGTTTAGCAGGGGCCCGAATCCTGGCTCGGGGGCCAAAACCCAAAAAATTTAAAAATTTTTTTCCCCAAAAAATAACATTTTCCGTCTTAAAATAGGGAATGCCCCAAAAGGGGGGGAAATTTTCAATCTACTGTAGAGATTCCTTTTTGAGGTCTACAATATCCAGGTCCCGTGCCCCAAAAAGTTTGAGCTTTTAATTCTAAAAAACCACCTTTCCGAAATAAGTCTTCATGTTTTTCCCCCTTTTCTTTCAGACCCCCCCGTTTAATTGATTGCCCCCCCCTTTTCCCCCAGGTTTGTATGCTTGGGGACCTAAAATTTGGGGTTGCTTTTTAAAAACCCCGCCACCTACAATCCAAGCTAGTGCCCTAACCTCACGCAAAATTTTAAAAGAACCCCACCAGGGACAAAACCCCAAATCCGTAAACAGGGGGACCCCCCATAGATACATCCTGAATAAAATCCCCCTAAATACAAACCCCGCTGTCTTTAACCCGGATTCAGCGATCACGCCTTTTTGCCGCGTCCGTAACGGGTCCGCGGTCAAACGACCACCCCTCATCACTGTCAAACGCTCCCTAAAACCCTTTTGCGAGCAGGCCCCTTTCCAAATTTTTCCCTTTTGGGCCCCGTATCCCGGATGGATTAGATCTCATTCCGTCCGGGAAGGATGCCCGGTTGTTTTCCCTTTAAAAATAATTCCTCTCAATCTTTAAAAAAACATCCCCATTTAAAAAAAAACAGAAACCCAAGAAAAACCCATATAGCCCCTGGTTCTCCTCAGACTTGACGGGCCCTTTAAACCCGCACAAAAAAAAATCCTTGGCTTCAGATTAAACATTAAAAAAAGGGCCCCCCCGATATGCAACTTTTCAGGGGAAATTTTTTTTGGAAAACCAAAATTTCACAAACATTTGGAAAGCAAAAAAGGGAAAATTTTTTAACAGAAAAATTTTCACCGTAGCAAATAACTCCAAAAAAGTTTTGGGGCCCCGTAAATCCATGGGGAAAAAAGAGCCCCTTCCCCCCAGCTGCCCTGCCCCCTGAGGCTAGGAAAAAACATCACCAAACCCATTTAAAACTCAAAAAATCGAGAAATTTTAACCCAAACATTTTTCTACAGCGGGAAAGCTTTTTCCCTCTGGCTAAACCCCTACCCCGGGCCCCCAAAATCTGCACCCTGCGCAAATTGCCCAGCCCCCCCCGCTTCTCCTTTTACACAAATTTAGACGCTATGTTTTGAAAGCGCGCAAAAATGAAAACCCCTTTTTAAATCCCCGCTGGGCTAGGGCAATCTGGACCCTTTCTTTCTAAAACTAGCCGCCCCCAAATTGTCGCAAAACCCCCCTTTTCTTTGTCTGTTCAACCCCTCTTTCAAACTTTGAGATCCCCAGAGGGTTGGGGAAAACTTTCCCGGGCATCCCCCCCTTCAAAAGGGGGGACACTTAGATCCAAAAAATGCTACAGAGCTAATCCATCCTGCCCCCCGCCCCTTTTGAAAAAAATTTTGAAAGCCCAATTTAACAAACGATACCGACCATTTCGAATACCACCGTTTCCTTTTCCGCTATCAAACCGGTTTCCCCACCCGGTCATTGGGGGACACTTTAGCCACGCTCAAGGTCCTAACCCATTTTTAAACCCGCGGGGTTGATAACAGACAGTAATGTGGAGCCTCTTCCCTCGACCCGGCCAAGGCTTTTTGACTCTGTCAAAAAAACCCCATTCTTATTGGCAGACTAAATAGGCCTTGGGTTTCCCCAAATTGCCTCGCCTGGTTTTACCAAAATACTTCTCAGATAGAGTTTGTGTGTTTAAATCAGAGGGGGGGTTGGGCTGGACCTATGGCAGTCTCTATGGGGGGGGCCCCACAGCATGATGCTGCCACCCCCGTGCTTCATGGTTGGGATGGTGTTCTTTAGGCTTGCAAGCCCCCCCCCCCCCCCCCCCCCCTTTTCCTCCAAACATAACAATGGTCATTATGGCCAAACAGTTATATTTTTGTTTCATCAGACCAGAGGACAT